GTCTTCAGCAGGTGCGCGCTTCACACGGGACCGCGCCTGGGCGCGCCGAGAGCGCTCGGGCGCGAGGCCAAGTCCAGCCCGGGATGCGGCAGAATTTCAGGCTGCGCAGCGACAGGACCCAGCGGGAAGGCCTCAGGCCACCGCGGCCCCGCGCGGCGCTCACCCGGGAGCCAGGAGCGCGCGCAATGGGGCCTAGGGCGAAGCGCGCGCGGAGGAGGCGGGGCCTCGGACCTGGGCACACCCCCTATCTCGCGGGCGCGGCGGAGGAGGCGGGGCCTCCGACTGCTTCTGGGCGTCCTGCAGCTACACTTGAGCGTTTGTCTGCCTTGCGTCACCGGTCTCCCACCTGGGTCATGCTGTCAGTGGCAGAGCTGCCATGCTGCGCGGAGACGCGCATGTGCCCCTAAAGACGCGAAGGGTGGAGATAGTGGGTTTGTCGTTAAGAACATTCAGAGGGTGAGCAGTGTCTCTCTCTGACTTGTCTGGAACCTGGAACAGGTTCCCTGCCTTCCCCAGGCCTCATGGTCCTCCATCTGAAGAGTTAAACGCTGCTGCGACCACACCTCCACCAGTCAGCTCCAGATCGCTGACTCCCCCTAACTTACAGGGTCTTGGGACTCTCTCTGTGTGTTCTGCTGTACAATTTAACTGTCAGATGATGGTTTTTGTGTGGCTTTAAGTGAGACAGGAAATAAAACAGTGCTTTGTGTAGAGAGTAGCAGGCATGTAAAGGACCTCTCAGCCCTTGGCTCCATCCCACACCCACCCATTTTGGTTCCCTGTTCCCAGCCTCATGCCCATTTCAACTCTATCCCTACACGCCCCCCATGACTCCTGACACTGAAGATGAAGCTCTTTCTACCCTCTGGGTCCCTTTATCTCAGCACAACTCAAGCAGCTTTGGGCTAATGGAGGCAGATACCCTTGGCCACGGCCTGGATAAGCTTGCCCATCTTCACTCTTGGAGCGTCACAGCCCTGTTCCTTCTTCAGAGGCTCCTCCTAGCCATCCCACTGACAGAAAGGCCACCTGGAGAGGGGACTCCAGTGTGAGAGAAAACATGAACCAGTCTTTTTCTTTTACCATGATTGCTCTCCAAGTAGCACTATCAGGGGGAACTTGGCAGGACCAAAAGGACCAAGTGAAGCCAACAGTTGTGATTACCACACGGGATGTTGAGCAAGAAGCTTCCAGGAAGGCTGGGGAGCTAAGGGAAGCTAGGGCCCACAGTCATCCAGCCCAGGACCACCAGGAGGTCTGCAGAAGACTGCTGATCCTCAGCCAGGATTGAGGTCACACTGGGTGGAGTCTGAGCTAGGACAAAGTGCCAGGTACCCTCTGGGGCCCCTCTAGAGCTGGATGTGAGGGTCTAAGGCAAAGAGAGGTCAGCCCAATGGAACTCAGCTGATGTCAAAATGCTTAGCCTAGGCCATTCCCACATTCCCTAGTCCTGTGAGACATACCAGAGCCAGGGAAAGTACAGGCGTGAATGGACAGGTATTCAGAGGTTGAGATGAGCAGAGTACTTTCCAGCCCTCTACATACCCATCATAGAGTACAGTCTCTGGCTACCTTGAAGACATCTTTTAAAATATCCCCAAACCAATTTAGCTGTGATCAGCTTGATAAGAAACACCTGTGTGTCCCTGAGGATGGAGCTGGGGAAGGAATGAGTCTGTCATCATACATGTCCTGTATATATGGAGGTCAGAGGTCATTGGATGGCTTCCTTTATCTTTCTATACTTTTAATTTTTTTTATTTTACATGTATGACTGTTTTGCTTGCATGTATTTATGTACACCACATATGTACTTGGTGCCTGTAAATGTCAGAAGAGGACATCAGATCCCAAGAAATTGGAGTTATGGATGGTTAAAAGCTACCATGTGGGTGCTGGGAACTGAACCTGGGTCTTCTGCAAGAGCAACAAGTGCTCT